CTAAAGAACTATTTTTGTGAGACTATAATTTATGGATGATTTGTGAGCAACTCTAGACTAACTTTGAATGTGTCCACCTAATAACTACGATCAAATAAGGGTGTTAAACCACCAATATGAAGAATTACAATTATATTATACAGTTAATGGTTAAAACTTAGATTTAAGAGAATTGCAATCATAAACTGACATCAACTATAATGCTCAAACTATATTTATCCAAATGAATAAATGAATTTCGCGCCAAAATAAAAAAAACCCATTATCTTAAATCTGATTGGTTCATTCATAAATTATAGTCTTGCCGCTATTTCTTCATAATTCATTTTACAATTCAATTGTATTATTTATAGAATAATTCATTTTAAAAGAAGAAACAATGAAAGAGTGAGAGAGAGAGGGAGGGAGGGAGAGTGGGAGAAACGGAGAAAGAGAGAGAGAGATATATAAATATACAGAAAAAAAGCTTCTTTCTCCATAACGGTTTTTGCATTTTTTTTTCTGCTTTCAGGAAAACAAACTAATTTCAAAGAATAAAACGTGACATTTAACAATTTTTAAAAAAAGCTATAAATTAAAATATTTCTTTCGATATATGTGAATAAATTTATCACTTTGAAGTTAACTTATCAAAATTGGGAACTTTAGTCTCATCTGCTTGCTTTGATACTCTCGCTGTCTCTCACTCACTCACTCACTCTCTCACTCACTCACTCTCACTCTCTCTTTCTCTCTCTCTATATATATATAACAGAATAAAGACCTTGGTAACTATATAGATCGATGAGAGTCTCTGTGACTTCGATTCCACTTGAGGTCGGTTTAAATCCTATAGAAAATATCAAGGTGAGATTATAATTTATGGACGACCTTTGAGCGATGTTAGACTGACTTTGAGAGTGTCTACTTAATAACTAGGACCAAATGAGGGTTATAAACCAGTGTAAGGAATTCAAATTATGATTTATAATTGATGGTTAAGCTTAGCAATTAGATTTAGGGGGTTTTCATCACGAATTGATATCAGCTATAATGAATTTTGTACTAAAATCTGAGATCTGTTATTTTTACGTGATTGGTTTGTCCATTGTTTATATTCTCGCCGACATTAGTTTAGACAGGTATATTTTTCTGATGACTGGAAACTAACGTGAAATTTAAGTCAATAAATTGTCTTTCAATTCCTTAATATCAGACAAATATGAAATGATCTTAGCTAGACTAAATTGAAACTTGAAATCAATGGATGGCCGTTTCGTTTTAGTATGAAACTGATCAGAAATGTGCATCCACCACCATGAAATCGGGAATCGGAAGCAGAATTTTCGGTTTCGTCTGCCAAAGCTTAATCTCTAGACCACTAAGTCGGCATTCAGTGGTGTCAATATCTAACTTTAATCAATCCATTATCTTACTCAATCGTTCATCAATTCCTTGCAGTGAACAACTATTTCACATCAAACATGTATTGAATTTCATTAGTCACGGCTTCTCATTAATGACCACATGATTGTTATCAGTATAAGGGACTTGTGGAGATTGTAGCATTTCAATTGTTGAAGTCACAAACGTCCTGAGTTTAAATCTCACTCGCGAAGTTATGTACACAAACTGCTGAAAATTCCCACACTAAAACGAAACGGTCCGCTAGTTTTTCGAGGTTTTCAATGTTGGTTATCATTCATACACATTAGATTTAGTAAACTGTTAATTCTTCTTGTTCCTAGAATGATCAAGTGAGGTTAACACTTGAACGATGTATAGATCATATAATGTAAAATGATATTTCCTAGAAAAGCATGATATCTGAGAATTTCCGGGACATTTTTTAACAATAAAGTTGAACGTTAACATCGTTGGATACCGGCCGGCTTAGTGGTCTAGAGGTTAAATGCTCACGCGCGAGACTGATAGGTCCTGTGTTTGAATCTCTCAGGGGGGGGGGCGGGATTGTGAATGCGCACTGCTGAGGAGTCCTATACTAGGATGAAACGGCCGTCCAGTGGTTCCAGGTTTTCCATGGTGAACAAGCTTCAACTGACTCATGATTTCAACTATTGAAATTACTAAAATCTCCACAAAACTCCTTCTGACAATAAATATCTATTAAAAGTATATCAACACGAATACGGTATATTTTGAAGTGGTTAAAACTGATTTACTCTACAGTTAAACCAAAAAGTATGTCAACATCAAGTTGGTTATTTATTAAACACCGTTGAGTGCTAACTCAGATGTTTAGAGGTTAAGTGTTTGTGAGCGAAACCAAAGGTCCTGTGTTTGAATTCCGCTTATGGGATCGTGAATGAGAACTGCTTGCAGATTTTCAATGATAGTTTAACATCTATCGATTCATGATCTCAATCAATAAAATGAACAATATACACAACCCTATATTGATATTATATAATACTCTAATCTATGAGTACATAATTTGAAATCGGTTATATAATTTTGAATTACCCAGTAAATTGGATTAAAACTAGTATTTTCAAATAAATAGTAAAAGAATTCATTCAGTCTAATAGTTAAGGGTTATAACTACAACTAAACATTGAATATCACTTTTTTGTGGTTTATTCAAAGTAAACAATTCCAATGAAATTATCATTTCAAAAAGTAAATAAAGGTACTATTCTCATTTTTGGTACAATTCAAATAAGTATTGAACATGGTGGAGAAGATTTGTAGTGCAAGTGGATGATTTGAATGAAGTTTTATTCTTTGAACTGGATAGTTTAGTCGTGGAGCTTTCATTGTTCTTTTGAATGACATCATCAACACAAACGTAGATGCTGATGATATCGTTCATAAGAACAATGAAAGCTCCACGACTAAACTATCCAGTTAAAAGAACAAAACTCCATTCATATCATTCACCTGAACTATAAAAATGGATATAACAGGAACAAATTAATGCAGATACATCCAGTGGACGAGTCTCATATAGGACGAAACTCCCGTCCTGGATTCCACTGCTAACCACTATCTATTTTTGCTCAAATAAGGTCACTATTAAAGAAAACCAATTCAATCCCACGTTCGCTAACTGCAATATGTTTTGATGTAATAATATAAAACGTTTTATTTAAGAAACTGATTGTGAATAAAACATTGAAATGAAGTAAAGAAACATAATAAAATGCAGTGAAGCTAGAATTAATATCAAAATAAGGATTTGTGTAGATTGTAATATGTTTAATAATTGAATACATGAATTGATCTAAGCTAGATCATTATTGAAAACCTGGAAGCATTGAACGGATGTGTTTTGTCCTAGTATAGGACTCTTTAGTATTACACATCCACAATCCCTCACACGGGACTCGAACCGAGGACCTACGGTTTCGCGCGCGAATGCTTAAGCTCTAGTCCATTGAGCACACTTCTATGGACTTCCATACCGGGACAAAATGACCATCCAGTGGTGGTCCAACTTAGATTGACTCATGAATTCAACTGCTACAATTAATACTTAATAAGATTAGAATGTTATTTTATGTATTTTTATGGGATTTGCTACATGTAAATGAAAAGAAAAAAACATACCCTTTCAATCTGTATTGAATAAGATCTAAACATTTTAATTCATAACTATATTCTAACAAGAATAATAATTCAACCACAAGTGAATTGGACAATCATTGATATTCATACACATATGAATGTAATTATTCTTATCATGATTATCATATCAAGTAAAAAATCTCTTTCCTATGGAGTTATTAAGATCAAAAAATGATACTGTTACTTTCTATAGTACAATAAATGATCATTGATTAGTACAATAAAATTGATTAAGTTTGAAACCTAGAACCTGGTACATATTCAAAATCAGCTTACATTGTCATCTTATATCAGAACGACAATATGGAATTGACAGTATAAGTATCAAATCAATTGTTTTAGTGTTAATGATCATAAGAAAAATAATAGGAGTAATGAGTCTGAATCAATTGATCCGTGGAATAAAAGATGTAAAAAGAACTTTGGAAAGATAAAAAGTGAATACATCAACATCATTTTGATTGATTTTGAAATATATCACCCAACATTTGTAACCATTGGTCATGATAATTACATGTACCAGAATCAGGGTCTTTCCATCTACCAATATTACTCAATAACTTCGTGAAATAATGCTATGCTTTAGTTTAATAGCCCCTAGCTTTCTTCCAAAAAGCTTCAATGAACATCTCTCTTCGAAATTAGGTAAGGGTTAACGATAAGTAGTAAATATCCCAGTCAGTTCAGTAGATGTAAATTTATTTTCTTAACCTATTTGTCATATATAGTGACTTATCTCACAATTAATCACTTAGTGGACCCAACACATACAGACAATCCTCCTAGGACCTAAGGTCAAGTAATAGTAACTTAAGAATATCCTTTACTACTGAAGGCCAATTTTCAATCATAAAGTGAGACTGAACGAGTTCATTAGCAGTGTCATTCTCCTTCCAATAATAATATGAATATTTGGCATATTCCATCATTGACATAACTTGGCAACATTCAACCAAATTCGTGCTGAGATTTTGTCGGATATCAACCAATCGTAGTTGATTAGACTTCCAATACAAGTGAATTGGTCGATGAGCTTAACTACTACCCTCCTTATCAGTAGCTGAGACTGTCTTAAAGCAAACTTTTGTACCTTGAAGAAGATTAATATACACAAAACTCAAAGAAAAGAAACGATACTAGATTTTATCAAAGGGCTCAGTAGCTAAGAAGAAAATGGGATGGCGTTTAAAGCGAACGGTACTGAATTCAAGTCCCTACCGGAGTGAACAGGCACATCCAGCTGACGAGACCCAAATAGGATGAAACCGGAGTCCTGGACTCCAGTGCTAGATTTCATCAAAGTTTTTACCAAATGAAGTTATTTCATTTAATAAAACTATTGTTATCTACAATTCATTCATCTTACAAACCATTAAATGATTCCTCTCATTAAAACTTGAATAAACTCATCACTATAAATAATGGTGACTTACTTTTATATTACTAAATGAATCCATTTTACATATATCGTATACAAGTAGTACAGCTAAATAATATTGAAAAGAAATAAGAAATTAGTTTGTACTGTGTATCTGATCATTTACGAGAAGTAAAAGGAATAAAGATAAAAATTACTAGCAAACTTTTCAGACAGGGGCTTTGTGGGAATTGTAGTAATTTATTAATTAAATTCATATGTCAATTGAAGTTAGACCATCATGGTAGCACTAAATGAGCGTTTCATCCTCGACTCGAATCTCTCGAAGAGGAATCGTGGATGTATACTACTGAGGAGTCTCATACTGAGGTGACTCATGAATTCAATTAATAAAGTATAATGTACCTAATATTTTAGACTTGCTTCTTCCCTCGGTCAATATTCTATTACTGCATATTAGAATGCAACTTTCATTAAAGATTACTTTTTAAACCTTAAATTTCACTAAATCACCAACACATATATAGTAAACAATTACTGATAAATGAAGATACTGAAAATAAACTCCTTATTATCATATGGGTTTTGTGGAAATTATAGTAATTTCAATGGATAAGATCATGAGTCATTTGAAGCTAGACCACCATGGAAAACCTGGAAGCACTGAACGGCCGTTTCGTCCCATTGTGGGACTCATGATCTTAACTATTGAAATTACTATAATATCCACAAAATCCATATGATATTGATCAACATATGCTCACTATTGACTGGCTTCAAGAGATATATCCTGGAGTTCTAGTGAGAAGTAGTGACCAGTGAAGTTCAACCGAGTCTGTTATGAGATAGTAACTCACTGAAGACAATAGTGGATGTGTCGCTTAATTTTGCGGATTAGTTGAAGTTAGACATTAACACCGTTGGATGCCGAATAGCTCTGTAGTCTAGTGGTTAAGTGCTCGCGTGCGAAACCAGTAGGTCCTGGGCTCGCAGGGAGCGAGGTCGTAGATGCTCACTGCTGAGGAGTCCCACAATAGGACGAAATGGCTGTCCAGTGCTTCTAGGTTTTCCATGATGGTCTAGCTTTAACTGAATCATGAACTTAACCATTGAAACTCTTTATTGTTCCATTCAGTAGATAAATGAACAAACAACTATTCAAAAGTATTGTCGATGAGATTATAATTTATGGATAACCTTTAAGAGACGCTAGAGTAACTTTGAATGTCTCCACCTAATAACTAGAACCAAATGAGAGTTATAAACCAGTATGGAAATCTAGAATTATGATTTACAGTTGATGGTTAAGAATTAGTAATTCGATTTAAAGTTTTCATCACGAACTAACATAAGCTATAATGCTAAAACTCAGTTTATCCAAATGGATAAATGAATTTCGCGCCAAAATCCGAGACCTTTTTTTATCTTATATCTGATTGATTCATTCATAAATTATCATTATGCCATTAAACTATGACTTACCATTAGTATCACGATAATATGATTTTGTTAAACTACGAAATTTCTCTTGTCCAGCTGTATCCCATATTTGTAAACGAACTAATTGATCATTAGCTTTTACTGTTTTTGTCTAGAAAAGAAAAAAAACAGCATAGAAATAAACTATTTTATATAAGTAATAGGAAGATTAGCTTATATTCAAGTTGATTAGTTGCTATTCGATTGTAATTAAATGGTACTATACAAGTAATCTATTCAACATGTATATATATATATATATATATATATATATATATATATATATCCATGGAGATAGATTAAATACAAAGCATAATAGGCTAAAGGGTTTATCGAATAATTTGATTATCTTGTTTGAAATCACCCATTTAATATAGGTGTTATAAATGTTATTGTATATAACATATAAATGGGTAATTAGCATCTATTGCATATAGCAACCGAATACATTCAATTTATAGATTTGATCTAAATCTGAAGAAGGAAACTATTTTGAATTACTATATGTTATCTCCTTCCTTGGTAGATATGTAGAAATCTATCTGGAATTATGAGTGATGTAAATAAACTAATGTGAAACATGTAATGACTTTCTAAAGAATGATCGATTATGAGATGATGAGAAACAATGAAAGAGGATGGATGTACAGTAATATATTAAATAACACCTGTTCAGTGCTCCATGGTTTTTACTGATGAATAGGTGTACAGGATAAAATAATTTCCACAAAACAGACTCATACATAAATTAATTATCCAATTCATTCTTATTCCAAGAACCTCCAGGTTGTATCTGCTCATTTCTGCAACGATTTAGAAAATTTTCTAGGTCTCCTACATTGTACTAACATTTCACATACCTAAATTAATGGTTACTCTGGTTGTCAGAACGGACAACAGCCTCGTGACTTCCAAAGAAACTCTGCTTCTAAATGAAGATCTTCTAACTGCTACGGCAGAGTTTAAATGGTTTGAATTATTTTTTCTGGTTACCGTTTTTTTTAGTGAGTTAGTTTTCTACAGGATGGGGTTGCTAACCCCATGCTTAACCCTCCTGCTTTATCCAGGCTTGGGAGAAGCAGTGACCCAGAGGTGCTCAATTTCAGATAAGTTCCTAAAATTATAATAGGAAGTTATGATTAGTGAATTTTAGTCATGTTAGAAAAAAAAATGGTTATCAACTGAAGTTAGAATTTTATCACTGAACGCTAACTCAATAGTTCTAATGTTTAATTTGAGTTCTATGAGTTCTGTTAATGAAGAGGTTGTGAATGTCCACTATGAAGGAGTCATATACTAGGATGAAGCATCTGTCCATCGATCTGTAATGTTGTTTGTTCAATTCACTGTTAGTAATTATTTAAAAATCAAGTTAACATATAAATACAGATATTCGCTCAAAGAGGACTATTTAAGTGGTGAACCATAAATTGTAGTATTTTCTAAGTTAAATTTACAAATTAATCTAATCTAGACTATTATTAAAAAGCTTGAAACACTGAACAAATGTTTCGTCTTAGTATAGGATTCATCAGTGATTCTAAGTTTTTAATACTTGTCTAACTTAGATGAACTCCTGATTTTCAACTTGGAAAATAATGATTCAATGTTTAACTGATTTGAATTGGCTACTATCAAAGAAATTGTAATAATTATAATATCAAAGTATATTTATAGTGTCAGTTATTATGTTAAGCCTACACAACTTATTCTAGCTTTTGGATCGGCCAATTTATCCATTCTTTTTTAATCACATTTTGACCTTGTTAATTATTCACTTATCAACCATGACTGAGTGTATATATGTGTGTACACTTCTTTTCCTATTCATCACATATTTGTAGTTTACTTTTATGTGACTATAAATATTGATTAACCTTTGATTAAATCAAATCAGTTTATGTGCTTTCTCCATTACTCACTGTATTGTTTCAATCTCTTGTCTTCGCTTCCTTCGCTATGTCTCTTTGATTGTATTGTTCCGATCGACGATTATACAAAATATACATCTTTAAAAATTCATTCTCGTATTTTCACAACTTATTTAATTCTGTTATACTCTCAGTCAGTCAGTCAGTCAGAACGACGTAGAACTTTGCACATACGTACGTACATCAGTTCGAGTTGCCACACCACATTAGTACACAGATGCAAGTGTCGATTCAAATCCCATAGTGGTAGTATAAGCAGTAAGCGGAAAGATTAGCGTTTGAAGATGTTATTCAAAGAGTATAATCCAGTGGAATAAATTTGGAAAGAGTAAAAAGGGTCATGAATAACTCAGAAGATTAAAATTTGGGAGAACACAAAGAGTGAATGCACCTGCGCCATTGCAATCCATTTTGAGCCATGTCATTCAACGTATCTAACCATCGGTTGCTTTCGTCTCGCAGATCCCAACCAAGTAGTCTACACCTACCAACATGGCTCAGCCCACTTGTTAGTGACTAATGCGATTGAAGTCAATGATAATATACAAAGATTGGCAACATGTATATTTTAATAATAACTATTCATTCGATTAAACTGGAATTAGATACCGGGACACAAAATTGTTTTGTCAACATTCCAAACCCAAAAAAAAAATGATTTCATATGTGTTTGTGTTGATATGGTAAACAATAATAAATTAATATGTAACAATCAATGTGACAGCTTAATGGACTATCATTTTCTACTGTTTACTGACTTATTATTATTATTATTATTATTATTATTATTATTATTATTATTATTATTATGAACTATTTATGAATTTCGCCCAGTTTCTTTTTTGCGGAGGGGAGGGGGGAGGAAGGATTGTATTTATTCAATTGAGATTTTGTTTTTATCAGATATCAATTGATCAGATTAAATTATGATACATGGATCAACTGGTTATGTTTATTCTCATGAGATTATGTTATTCAATACAAGTTTGTCATAAATTCAAATGGATTATTATTTTAATGTAGTACAATGTATGTATACAGTATTCAATGTGATTTAATCTAGATTGTTTACATTTTATTATGTAAGTGCAATTTTTATACCATGAAGGATAAAATAACTATTCAATCATTGATGGTTTTATAATGATTCGGTAGATATTGTGATAAAAATCAGTTTCATATAATGATAATAATATCAAAGAAGTTCTACGGTATGGGACGAAAATAGTTGCCTACATAAAATATTTCGAATCTGTTGGCTAGACATTATCAATACCTAACTGTGTCACAAATGAAGCCCTTACTTAGAATCCTCAAAAGCAAAGGAGGAGAGGAAGAGCAAAGAACACATCACATCGAGAAATGAAGATAGATATGAGAAGAATGAACAACAATTGGATAGAATTAGAAAGGAAGGTCTGGGACAGAGTGGGTTGGAGAATGCTAGTCAACGGCTTATGATCCATTGTGAGTAACAGGTGTAAGTAAGTAAGTAAGTAAATAAATAAATAAATAACAATAAATGTTTACGAAAGCACGTAGTTTATTAATAATCATCTGTTCATTATGGACGAAGAGAAAGAGAGTCACAATTGATTGATCACTGGATGATGATCAATATCATGTGTGTCAAGTCCTTATTAGTGTAGATTGAATGCTATCGACCAAGTTTCAATGTGGTCACTAGTCTAGGTGACTCGACATTGAGTACACTATGTTGAGATAAGATGGTGGATAGAGGTAGTCAACAGGAAACCCTGGACTCGAGTTCTAGTTTACAGTTATGATTATTGATAGAGTCAATCATTTCGCTCATGATATTTCATGACAATAGTTGAATATTAAGTACTTGATTAAAACAACTAGAAAAGCTTATAATGTTAATTTACTTATATAACACATATAGACCATTTTAAAACAGTAATCATGATAGTAAACTTCTTTACCTTATAATCAATTCCGACAGTTGAAATATAACTACCTTTTAAGAATATACCATCTTTAAAACGGATTAATAATGAAGTTTTGCCAACACATGAATCACCAATAAGAAGTAGCTAAAATGTTAAAAAAATAATTTAAAAAAAGCAAAGAATATAATTATTATCAGAACGGGTTGTGTGGAAATTTCAGAAGTTTCACTGGTTGAAATCATGAGTCAATTGAAGCTAGACAACCATGGAAAACCTGGAAGCACACGACGGCCGTTTCGTCCTAGTATGGGACTCCTCTGTTGTGAGATATCAGCTCACTGAAGACAATGGTGTACGGTGGCGCAACTTCGTGGATTGGTTGAAGTTAGACATTAACACCATTGGATCCTGGCCGGCTCAGTGATTTGGTTGGTAAAGCGCCTAGTGCGAGACTGATAGGTCCTGGGTTCGAATCCCGCGGGGGGCGGGATCGTGGATGCGCACTGCTGAGGAGTCCCATACTAGTCCGAAACGGTCGTCCAGTGCTTGCAGGTTTTTCATGGTGGTCTAGCTCCAATTGACTCATGATTTCAACTATTGAAAAACAAAATTGTTAACAATGATGTAGATTTTATGAAAACATGGATAGTGGCTAGTAGTGGAATCCAGTTTGACCCGCTTTTTCTCCTTTTTGGGACTCGTCAGCTGGATGTAGCTGTATCTCAGAGTTGATGTTTATTCTGGGACTCGAATCAAGTACCGTTGGCTTCAAACGTCACTTAGCTACTGATGTAGGTTTGTAAATAATTTATTTTGTAGTTGATTTGTTTTCTAGTTCTTTTTGTTTCTACATTATCCATAACATCATATCAACTGATGGTTTCTACATTATTTACTTTTAACTACTAATTACATCTGTTATGATTGTGTATGAATTATCTTTTTAGTAAATTGTGTTTTTAATCGACTTCATCTTGTTGAATAGATTCGAATGAAATATAAATCAAAACTTTTTAACTGACTTCATATTATTTAGTTGTATCTTTCCATAGTTTTTAACGGTAGCAATTGATCAGTCTCTTATTGGCATATATGCATCTTGTGCGGACTGCCTCTATATTACCTTAGGTCACAAGCTTTATAAGCAAAGATGGATATTAACTAGCAGGGGAATCCAGCAAGTGATGTACCTGCATCCTAGAGTTGCTGTTCACTCCGGGTGGGACTCGAACTCAATACCGTTCGCTTTAAACACCATCGCGTATTCCACTTAACTAATGAGTCCTGATAGCTACTCACTTGTGCAATGTGGTGAAGTTTAAATTCACTTGGTATTGTTTACTTGTATCTTTCCATTGTTGTTATGGACTGCAATTGATCAGTCTCTTGTTGGCATATATGGATCCTGTTCGGATTACCACTATATTGTCTTTAATCACAAGTTGACGAGTTGTAAATGAGACGAAACGCGCATCCTGGATTCCACTTCTACCAACTATCCATCTTTGTTTTTAACCGAGTTTTTTATTTATTTCAAACTTGTTTTAATTAACTAATTCTGTTTATCCACTGAATTATTTGATTATCTGCTTTTGTCATCAAAACAAATATTATCATTCATCTACAATACACATAATTTTGTTAATATGAATTCATGTTACTATGGGAAATAAAAATACAAAGTGTTGAATGATACTCTTCTGTTCTGTTTATATTTCAATGGCTTTCTTTAATAAACCCATCCTCATGTCTGTTCATGAGGAAGATTACATATAAATCAAGTTAATATTCATCAAAACACCAGCTCAAATAAAGAATATTGTGTTCTTTCGTGGCAGTAGGAGTAGTAGTAGTAGCGTTAGGAGTCACAAATAGATCAAACAGAAAACGACCTGCAGTTCCTGAGTCAAACCTTTGGCAGAGTCGTTGATTAAGCATTGCCCAAGAGTTATATACTAATATAAAACAACTGTCCAGTACTTCATAATTTTCAATAGTACCCCAAATTGGATAAATATTCGACTAAAACAACTGGCGAGACTATCATTTATGGACGAATCAATCAGATACAAGATAATAATGGCGTGAAATTCATTCATCTATTTGGATAGATAGAGTTTTGGCATTATAGCTGATGTCAGTTCATGATGAAGCCCCCCCCCCGAATCTACTTCCTAACCTTAATCATCAACTGTAAATCATAATTTGAATTCCTCAAACAAGTTTATAACCTTCATTTGATCCTAATTATTAGATGGACACTCTCAAGGTTATTTTAGCCTCTCTCTCTTTCAAAGGTCATTCATAAATTATCGTCTTACTATATAACCTATAAATTTAATGAAAACTCTACAAAACCTCTTCGATGAAAAAAATAATCGGTTTATTATTTTTTTTTTATTAAAAACCAACTAAACTACTGATAATTCAGAGTAATTTATAACTTGACCTATATTGTTTATATATATGGATATATAACTCAGTTTAGTCATTAATAATAAAGTATTAAAGGATATTAATTATAATTTCAACTTGTCAAATTCAATCCACATTCACCTAAAATAACAAAAAGAAATTGAAAACGAAAACAAACAAACTACTTAATTGAAGAAAAAAAATTTTTTTTCCTATTTGTGTTGTTTCTATGGTTGTTGTTGTATTAAATATCATCATCTGTCCATAGGTGGTAATGATAATAATAATAATAGTAATCACGAACATAACACTTATTTCTGCAAAAGAAAACAAGTAGTCATCTAGTAAGTTATATATTTTATTCTTTTAATCCATCTCTCATTCATCTAATAAATTAGTGAATTGAGATTCAGAGTAAGTAACTTGGAAATAATGAACTAAATGATAGGGAGTAGTTATTCTTTTTTATAGATATGGAATTTATGTGAACTCTGTCTTCTCGCAATGGGGGTATTGTTTACGAAGCTAAGAGGACGAAAAGCGAATGCTCAGCGGAGACAGAGAGTTTGTCTAAGGGAGTTCGAAAACAAAGATTCCAAATCAATACTGCATATTGGGTCTAGTATCCTAAAGGAACAAATGGCATATGAAACAATCGTTGGTCATTGACTATCATGGGACTGCATCTCATGACGTTGCTCTACTGTTTTGTAGATTAGACAGTTAAATCGAAGACTTCGGGTGTGTCCCCGTAAGAAAACCATCTACTTCAGTTGGGTTACCCGGACAGTATCATAGTCCTCACATAAATCGAATGATTTATGTGGCGCATCTCTATTTGGTGCCTCCTTGTACCAATGTTGATCTACTTAATTTATAATAATAATAATACTTCGTTTAATTCACTTGATATTGTTTTATTTGAATCTTCCCATTGATGTTTAGGACTGAAATTGTTCAGTCTCTTATTGACATATGTGCATGCTGTGCGTATGCCTCAATATTGCCTTAATTTACAAGCATTATAAGCAAAGATGGATAGTGGCTAGTAGTGGAATCCAGTTTGACGCGCGTTTCGTCCTATTTGGGACTCGTCAGCTGGATGCACCTGCATCTCAAAGTTGATGTTCACTCCAGGGCTCGAACCCAGTACCGTCCGGTTCAAACGCCATCGCATTATCCAGTTAGCTACTGAGTCCTGATAGCCACTTGCTTGTGCAATAGGGTGAAGTTTAATTCACTTGATATTGTTTTATTTGAATCTTCCCATTGATGTTTAATCAAAGTTTTATATTTTTGAATTTTCCGTTTGTATAGAAGTTACCTTACTTTAAATCATTATGAAAGTTCTAATAACGCATTATGTATATATACATATATCATGTGTATTATTGCTGAAATTACACTTCCCTACAGATTCTCACTTAAATTGTTTGATATTGATTAATAATATCAATGAATGGGATATCTCAATCATGAACTGATGATAGTTGAAATACCATAGAAAACTAGAAAATACCCAATAGCTGTTATATAGTTATCAAAACCTCTTAAAAATAAACATGCCTATGATCTCACTAAAGGGTCGGACACTAAAATAAATTGTTCTTAGACACCTCAATCACACTTCATTCAGTTATATTGCTATTAACACATCGTACTAAAAAAAACTCATTATTTTCATGAAAGTACAAACAAAATCGATGACTTTTGAAAGAGTTTTATTCTCTCATCTTGATAGTTTGATCGTAGAAGTTTTCGTCTTTATTCTAAACGATATCATCAGCATAAATCATCTAGCTCAAAGAACAAAATCATTCATTTATTCTATATATCATCCTAAAATCAATAACTACCTATTTATCATGAGAAATGATAATTAAATACTTAAAAAATTTTGTGTTTGTTTTTTTTATTTATTTTCAAGACATTTCAATAGTTCACCACCTCATTATGAATTTAAACCCCTCCCCCTCAAAATGTGCTTAGTAATAATAATAATAATAATAACAATAGTTCTAAATATAATATACTTAATAGTTCATATCCCGAACTACTACGAATTCATGATCGAGTCATCTAGTTTAGTACTGGTTGTGGTTGTTGTTGTTGTTGTTATCTGTCTTATTCATTAATCAACCTTCATATTGAGAATAGTAATGTTAAAACTCTATTTTATATATATATATATATATATATATATATATATATATATATATATATATATATATATATATATATATATATATATATATATATATATATATATATATATATATATATATATATAGATATATCGATATTCGTGTGTATAGTTAAGTTGATTTATTTTCTCCAAATCATATATCATCTTAAAAATTGACTATTTCGGTTTCATTATTTTAACATATAGATATATGTATATGTATATTTATTTATTTATTTATTACATGCGAAACTCCGCCTGTAGCTGTACTCGAGTTACTGCCGATCCTAAGCCCAGGTAAAGGAGGAGAGTTGGGCATAGGGTTAACGACCCTATCCCGTAGAAACCTAACTTCCTACAAAATAAAAACGCTAACCAGAAAAAATAAAATCAATTGTATGCGAATATAGATAAAGAAGTTAACAAAAAAAGGAAAGAAATGAGATAATGTGCATTTTGATTTTTTGAAAAAAGAAATATAAATGAATGTTTATGAATGATGTAAAAATGAACAAATATATAATAATGATAATGTCTAACTTGA